TTAACCCCCCCCCCCCCCCCCCCAAGCATCCATTTACAGTAACCACAGTGATTTCTGTTTTGGAACATATGGCAGGGTGGCAAACGGTGTTCAATGTTTAACTAGCAGCTGCTCTAGTTCAACACATGAAAAACCTTTCCAATTTCAATGTCCTTCTGAAAGAAAGCAAAACAAAGCTTCCATCCCTCAGAGTGCTTTAATAAATGTTGGCAAAATGACCAGATCCAGGATGTTGTTCCCCCCGTCTAGTTTCATAAAAATCACGTGCAGACACAACCACTGCAGGGCTGCTGCGCTTTTATTTGCTCACACAGTTTGACCGGTCTTCCCTGCGCAGTTTGCCTTTTTTCCCAGCTGTGAAATTGCCGAAATATCTGCTCTTGTTTTTCTATCTGAACTTGGAATTAGATGGTAAAATTGGTTAAATGGTAAACAGCAAGGAAAAAAAAAAAATCCTCATTTCTGTACTTAAGCTAGAGTATTTTGCAAACATATTTGCTATTGCACTTGGGGAGAAAAAAAAAACAAACCCAACCACAGGTAAGGCAGCTGAGTTCTAAGAGTTTAAAAAATGACCTCATGCATACTTAAAAATTGTTACTTTAAACAATTAGCATAAATTTTTATGTTCTTGCTTATGCAAGAGATGCAAAAATTCCCCTTACCCCCCCCACCACGGAAAAGGAACCCATGCTCTGCCTTAGTACTGTGTATCCCCCTCCTGTCTACCACTCCGCTGGGTCATTTCTGCAGGCTTTTCCCTGCTATTTGCAACCAAACATAACCTCTGAGAAGCAGCTACTAGGAATTATGTGTTGCTTTCCTAGTAGGAAAGTGGCTACAAAGCTTGAAACCAGTTGCCCTGACTCAAAATACAATTTAATACAGTTCTGAACTAAAAAGGGATATGGCAGAAGACAAACTATGCAGTTGTGATGTGTATAATCAAAAAGGCAATCACCATACTATTAAAAGAAGTGACTTCTGCTCTAAACCCACTAAGCCTGTGGATTTTATATGAACACCTTAAACTAGCCAACCCACTACTTGGCAAACAGGCAGTGCTCCTTTTT